ACCACTAACAGGCCCTGTAACAAGGCACTCTGAGCTGGTGATTTTTCCCAACCCTGAAAGTGGTTTCAGTGGATGCACCTGCACAGTCCTGCGGCCTGCCTGGAGTTTAGTGCCACTAGACAGAGGACTACCTCACACCGCACCTCGCAGGGCGCAGTTGTCTTGAACAGCCTAACTACTTTTGGTCACACAGGTTGCTGACAGGAGAAACTCACTGCAGCACCACTCACAGGCCCTGCTACGCAAGGGTCTCTGCGCTTTGTTGATTTTTTCAGACCCTATAAGTGGTTACAGTGGAAGCACCTGCACAGCCCTTCTGCCTACCTTTGAGTCAGGCGAAAAACCGAGTTTTACCTCTCCCTGTCCTCACTGGATGCAGCTGTCAATGCTGCTTTAATCTTTTTGGCCACACAGTTGCTGGCAGGAGAAGCTCACTGCAGCACCACAAACAGGCCCTGTAGCAAGGGTTTCTGTGTTGGAGCTCGGTTATCACACCTGAAAGTGGTTGTAGCGAACGCACCTGCACAGTCCTGTGGCCTGCCTTCAAGTCTTGTGCTGCTGCGGGCGAATGGCAGCTGGCTACGAAGCTTGGTACAGATTGGGTTTTGAGACCTGTAGAGCCTCTAGGACGACACGTTTGGCCTTGAACCCAGTTCCACACAGCTAACGCTCCCTAGCTCACCAGCCCTTGGCTTGAGCACAAAACTTGAGCCAAGGTTCTACGCTTTTACACCCCCCCACGTCGATTTGCTACTTGTTGCGTGAGACGAATTCACAAAAGCTCAGATTTTTACTCAACACAACTCAGGAGTGCGCAAGATAGCGTGCAACTCAATCAAAGGGCCAAGGAAACCCTTGGGCGCAATAGTGAGACATGGTCATTCGCTCGTAGCATGCGTCAGGGAAATCCCTAGAACGCAAAGAGATATCCATTGCACACCAAAATGGCGATTGGCAATGAGAGCATGGCACTGCTCATTGTCTCCATTCAGTCATCCATCTCGTCGAGATCAAAACTTGGAACGTTAGTGTTGCCCTTTCGTGTATCATCTGTAATCTGCTGGAGACCAACCATGCAAAGCGAAACCAGGAGGTCCTGGCGCCTTTCACCCAGCGCTAGACGCGCAACGCCTTATTCAATCGCGAAGTTGACCATTGATTATGTTGGTAAATCCCTTTTGATAGAGCTCGCGGAACTCTTTGCCGTTCTGCTCAGCGATGAATAGGTTCTCGGAGTCGAGCCCCTCGCGTTTCTTCTGACTCTCATAGAGTCCTTCGATGCAAATGTGAAAGACACCATCCCTGATGACCTCTGCTGGCATGTGTCGATAGGCCACATAGCAGAACTTCTTGACGCCAAGGGCATTGGAAGCAGTAGCCGCTGTAGCCTCACACGCGTGCTGATTTGGCTGCCTTGACCCTCTCCCTGATTTGGACGAATGTCGCGGTAGCTGACAGCTATCAGTGGTGACAAGCATTCATTGTTACATTCATTGTCGTGTAGGCCCAAAAAATATCCCAAATGTAACTCTGGGCCCGGATGACTTCACAGCAATGATCCAGGTTTGCACAAAAGAGTAGCGAGGAGTTCCCCGGGTCGTATTTGTTCTTCTGCATTCAAGCAACGCATGCGTTTTGATACTCAGGCCTTCCATCACTATGAATCCACCTGAAGTATTCTCCTGTTGCGGGAGCTCTTGGAAGATTTGAGTTCTCATCGATGATTGCTGAGCAGAAGAATTGCCGATGTGTGAAGGGGGCGACGTAATCATCCATCTTCTCCCTCGTTTCTTTGAAGCTCAGGGCGATGTAATCGTCCAAGAGGTCCTTTCCCTGCAAAATGAGGTACGCAAACACTTCATCAGACACCTTGCCGATCTCCTCAACATTCAGACACACGGCTGGCGGTTGAGTAGCCTGGTTGTTTGACACAGTGAGGTACTCATTCCAATAATCCCCTCGTTCGCTATACGCATCCGTCTTTCTTCTTCGTCTGGGGATTGGGATTCATGGATCTCCTCGACGTCAATCGCTGCCACATCACGTTCGGCGAGTTCAAGCTGATCGTTCACTTGTTCATCTGTAGCAGCGACCTGTTTAGAAGATTCCACAACTTCAACCACTTCATCGACAGTGATTCTGACTTCTGAATCCAGAGCACAAGGAGTCCCCAGACAGCTCTGGAACCTTTTTGCATTGCATGAGGCATCGAGCGATCGTTGTAGGAATAATCCTCGTGCACCAGGGGCAACAATCGACATAGCCCTTGGAACTCAAGTGTGCTGTGGAGGATAGCTCGACCAATGTTGCGCCTGAGGTTCTTGGCTTGTGCATCATTCGGAATAGAGCCATGGATCCTCTTGAGGATCATCGCCACATTGTTCCTGTACGTGACCCGGATGTTGATGTCTGCCCTGAATTTGTCGCAATCTTCCCGATGAACCTATTGGTTGCCTTCACGCATGGCTCAGCACCTTCAGCTTCACGCGCACAAACTCATCTACCAACAATGGTAAATGAACTCTGGCGCGAATCCCTCGGGCTCCGTCCAATTCGAATATCATTTCAACTTCGAAGAACGGTATTGCGCATCTGCAAAGGATCACTCCATTCGTGGCCAATCTAGCACCAACGTGGTGATTGGTATATATAAATTGCGACGCCTTTCTCCTTGTTGTCCGCGAACTTGTTCGCGAAATTTGAAGTGTCTCTCCGGCCCTGTGGCAGAAAAGGCGAAAAGCGGACATCCACTCGACGACTGTGATGTCCTTGATCTTGCCAACGCAAGGTTCGACACCTCTGACCCAATCTAGGCCACCCTCGGATGTGACAAGGTGCGCATCATCAAATGGTCGCGGGGACGCGTACTCCATGAACCGCGGAACCTGGTTCTTGAGGTTTTGCACGTTGGGAATCTTGTTCGACTTCGACCTTGGGGGCGCACCCAAAGGAGGTTTAACCTGGGAGCATCACGGGGCGAAGACGATATATCAGTAGAAGTGGTCGGAAGCTTGGGCGCAGGACGCGTCTTCTGAACAGTGTCACTCCAGGGAATGTTGTAGGAACTTCTTGCGCGTCAACCTCAAGTAGCTTCCGCAGTTGTGTCTTGCTCAGGCGCAATCTCCGTGTCAGTCGCACTGACCTCCTCAACATTGTGGCTTTCTTCCACAGCAACAGCAGGAGGATCTGTGCCCATATCCACATCTTCATCTTGATCCGTAGTAGGCACGCTCTGTGGTTGGTCTTCTACACTTGGCTGACCGCCGCGCTCAAGTTAATGAAGGCCCTGGGTAGCGCATTCGATTCCACGTCAGGGGGGCAAGCACCATGAGCATGATGAGTCCAGGGCTCAGCACATAACTTCAAGGTATTTGCTAGCTCCAAAATTTCCCCAAGAGCTGCGCCTGCGTTGCGCTTCTTGTTTGCAATCTCAAGCTCTTCCAATTTCACCCTTCCAGAGTTCC